CGAAATGGGCTCGAAAGGGACTGGATTATCACCTATCAAGAGTGTTTCGATGCTTTATGTGAGAGGAGTTGGATTTTTGTTACATGATTCACTGGAACCACAGATGCCATCGAAATACAGAGCAAGCTAGGGATGAGAAAGAGGAGGTAAAGAGAAAGGAATGAGTATAGGAAGAAAACCTCAGTAGCAGAGGCAGGCAGGCAGGATGTGAAAGTATCAAGGGAAGGAATATGGGAAGCCAGGTCGACAAAGGGTGTCTCTGTTTCCACTGGAGATGTATTTTTCACTTCCTTAGAAAACCTAAACTAAAAATGCAGAAACCCACAATTTCTCAGGCTATACAGAAAGGAAAGGCAGAGGATAATCCCATAGATGGCATGTTTGTTTTGTGCAACTTTGTGTTTGGCACCACAAGGAAAAACACATAGTCTTGAGAGAGATGGTTTCAGAGGAGAAGGAAGTGCCTCAGGGTTTGTTTCCATTAAGTCAGTGGGAATGTTGCTATATGCTTCAATGAAAAGAGGACTAAGTCCTTACCTGCCTGTCTTAAAATATTACAAAGCAGCAGGCTCTAGTCAGTGGCTGAAACCTCCGGGCTCGTACTGAAGCTGTTTGTTCACCAGCTCCAGTTATTTTCTGTGGAGGATGCTGAGAGTCTTTGCAAGGCCAGGGCAGAGTTTTTGCAAGGTCAGAGCAGGCTCTTTGCAAGGTGCATCCTTTCCTGGTGTCCCTTCTGGTGCCTGGAGTGAATCACCTCATTTTCTCTTTCCTCTCTTACCTGGGTGCTCCACTTCCACTTTGCTTCTCAAACCTGTGACACCACTGGGACTAGGTCATTGTCACACAGACTTACCAAGAACAGTCGATGAAACGCTGGGGACTGTGAGGGTTGATACAAGCCACCCGCCCATCTTCCTTTTACATTTTTGTGTCTGTCTCCAGCCCTGCTTCTTCCTTTCAGGGCCTGTTGTATTCAGATGCATTCACAGTACTGACTTCTTTCCATGATTTTTGGCCGTGGCAGTGCTGCACACAGGTGCCACAAACCAGTGCCCCCTCCATAAACGTGTTCCTCTAGCATCCCTTCAATACATGACCCTTTCATAAGCTTCAGATTTCAAACCCATTCCCCTTCCCCATCTTGCAGCATCCAGCTCCTTGGTCTAACTCAAAAATGCACATATCCATCTCCTCCTGATAGATGTAAACCTAATGCTCTGAACCCCCCCTCCTGCCTCTGATCCTTCTCACGGTTTCTCACCCTTGCTACCCTTCACGCCTTCTTTGCTCTGTGTTGATGGACATTTGCTCTCAAGGGGAAAGAAGACCTTAGTTACAGATGCATGAAATACCAGGGAAGTTTTGAAGAATCAGTGAGCCAAACCTTCATCCCTGTGCAGAGGAAATGGGATGTCATCTCACTTTCTGAAATAAGAGGGGTGGCCTTTTTGAGGCCCCCAGATGGACTTACAGGCGTAAGAGCCTATGACACATTTTGCACGGAATGCTAGGAGTGGAAGATTGCTGGAAAAGCTATTCTAATCCATCATCACCTTCATTTTCAAGTCTTGTTTTACTGGATGTATGAGCCAAAGGGATCTGAGAACAAAGAGGAGCAGCACCACGCACCATTTTCACGCTTCCAGCGTAGCTGACCCATGTTTACCTATCTCCAGAGCAAAACATGAGGACTCTTTGTCTATCCAAAGACCAATGTCGAGACCAGCCCAAGAGTGGGCGAACAAGCTGCCGTGTAGGCAGCATCAGTGCAGTGATTGTTTGTATTGCTTGGTGTAGGATCAGTTCTTTCTTGACTGCAGGAGAGGGGAGCGTTATTACCTAGTATTTAATTATGAGTCCAGATACTAGAAAAGGCAAAGGAAGGAAAGGGTTAGTGAAATGGCCTATTTTACTTTTCAGCAGCTCTCTTTAGACATCCCTAAGGATTTCTTACCTCCCATTAAAGTTTTACCTGAAAATGCTGATTGCAAGGAATCCACTAGTGGTACAGGCAAAGAAAAGCAGACTGTTAAATACTTCTGCTGCAGTAAATCTCCAGGCACTTGAAAGCCGGTAGGGCATGGGGAGGAGAAAGGGTGGATGAAACAGGGGCTGCATATTTTAATAGGATGATTAAAAATCCTGTGTCAGGACTCAGCAAATACAAGATGTGTAAATACAACTTTTTAAATGTTTTATTGCTCCATTCTTGCAAGTTGTACTTTTGTCTACTGTTCCTGTCTACATGAAAACAAAAAACTTTCCTGATTCCTGCAGAGCCCTGCTTAGTCTGCCCTCTTCTTTCCCTCTAAGCTTGTTGAATAAACTGCTCAGCTGAATAACTAGAGATATTCCCCTTCCCTTTTCTCCCAACCTAGCAGTCTTTCCCTCTCCAGCATTTTTTTCAGTGCTCTTTTTCATTCTCTCTGCTGATTCCATTTGCTTATGAAGATGAGGGGTCCAAAGCCACATAAGAACCAGATCTGCCCACATTCCTGCATTCAAGGCTGAGTGTTTGCTTTCTTTTTTTCTTTCTGTTCATTGAAAAAGAGTATCCACCTAAAAGAAGTAAAAATCAGTCTCAGCAGAGCATGTGACCACAAACCTACAACAGTTTTAGGGAGGCTTAGGGAAATCTCTGAAACAGAAGTCACAGATGTGGAGCAGATAGCCCCTTCCAAATCATTTGCCTGCGTGTGGAGTGAAGCAGGTGGAGCTTACGGAGCTCTGACCCCAAAATGACCAAGAGTTTGATAGCCCTTCTCTTCTTAGCCAGAAATTGAGATGCGTGCTTTGCCTGGCTGTTGGTTCGGGCCCATCACTAAGGTTTCGGTGCGTTAGGTGAATGATGCCCTTTCGGAAATGAACAGCCACTAGCTTGTGGCACTGGTGTAACTGAATGCACAGACAGAGCCCGGGCCAGCAGTAAGTCAACCGCAGCGCAGTGAGTAGAGAGAGACAAGGAATGAATTAGGTTAATAAGATTGAGATCTTCCGCTGTATAGGCCAGCCGTTTGATTTTTCTCAATGCCTGTTAACACGCAGAGGAAAGCAGCAGCTACCTGGCTAGCACGGGGCAGGAAAAAATAGAGTAACACATTCAGTTTCTCAGGGCACAAATGTTATGAATTTCCCCTTTCTTTGTGTAAGAGCAGTTGATGTCTGTCTAGCGTTTTCCATTAGAGAATAAGAAAGCACTCAGCTCCAAGTTACCGTGTGCAGGAGGTAACTGGTTTGCTTGTCTGTAGTGAAAGTGAAGGGAAGCACAGTGTCCCCAAGCCACCAGTGTCCACCAGCTGTGGATAAATGGCAATCTCTGCTGTGAAGAAACCCCTTTGCCCCCGACCGAATGTTCTCATCTCGGGGATGATGAAAGGTTCCACTGTTCACAGCACTCCACCGCGCTGGACGGCGGATACAAAGAGCCCGTTTCCTTCCAGGAACTGGAGGATGGAATTACTTAGGTGGGATATAAACGATTGGAAGTCGTTAGGACAGTGGAACCAACAGCCCCAATATTGAGAGAAGCATCGCAGGGTTTTAATGATCACGAACAGGCATCACCTCCACACCTTCAGTATCCATGTTCAGAGAATTTAGTGCGACCCTTTCTGTGTCTGTTCAAGATTAATCCCCCAGTCCAAGAAAATTAAGAGGGACTAGAAATGCCCTCGGAAAGGGCATTTCCAGCAGTGGCTGGTCCCTTTCCCTCGGTAGCACCCTGGAGCCGTTCCTCGGTAACGGCCTTCCACACGTCCTCTGCCGCAGGGCTGGAGGGCCAGCGTTGTGGAGGCTGTACCGCAGAGAGAACGTAAATTCAGGACAGTGAGGAAGTCGTTCTTGACCCTGGTAGGTCCCAGAAATAGATGCGTAACAGCCCGCTTCCACAATGCATTCAGCATCTTCATTTCCAGGTGCCTGATTGTGAGAAGGATCTGAAGGTGCTTTAGGACGGCACGTGCAGGTGGCAACACGCACGTCAGGCGTAGCTCGTGCTTCAGATGGCGTTTCCCTTGGAGCGCTGAGGTGCTTCGGGCTTAGTGACTGAAAGACAAGCAAGGAGGTACTCGGAAAGCAAGAAAAGGCGAGCAAAGGAAACCTAACGCCCGGTGTAGCCGGAGAGCTTAGCGAGGCTGCAAAACGTACAAATAGCCCGCGTTTGTAAGAGCAGCAGCGGGATGGGGTTTGCCTGTATCCAACATGACGTTCACTGGTGTTTCGGGGCCAAGTGAGTCCAAGTAGCAGACTGGGGAATTGCAGCCGGGCGGTGCTGTGCCTCCAGCTAGGTGAGGCGGCGGTGCTCCCCCCTCCTCAGGAGAAATGTAGGACCTTCCCCGAGGTGCTTTATGCCCCCAGCCTCTTGATTTCTGCAGGTGTCCCATCCTAAACACTCTTCCTCTTCCTGCTCATTGTCTTCATCCGCCACACACCCCCACGCACGTGGCTCTGGATCTCCTCATCATGTTCTTCTCGTTAAAAACCCCATTGTTCATTTGTTTGTTTGTTCTCTCTCTTTCTCTCCTCTTTTTCTCTCTCTTTCCCTCTCTTTTTTTTTTTTTTTCTTTTTCTTTCTTTCTTTCTTTCTTTCTTTCTTTCTTTCTTTCTTTCTTTCTTTCTTTCTTTCTTTCTTTCTTTCTTTCTTTCTTTCTTTCTTTCTTTCTTTCTTTCTTTCTTTCTTTCTTTCTTTCTTTCTTTCTTTCTTTCTTTCTTTCTTTCTTTCTTTCTTTCTTTCTTTCTTTCTCTCTTTCTCTCTTTCTCTCTTTCTCTCTTTCTCTCTTTCTCTCTTTCTCTCTTTCTCTCTTTCTCTCTTTCTCTCTCTCTTTCTCTCTTTCTCTCTTTCTTCCTTTCTCTTTCTTTTCTTGATTTCTTTCTTTCTCTCTCTTTCTTTCTCTCTTTCTTTCTCTCTTTCTTTCTCTCTTTCTTTCTCTCTTTCTCTTTCTTCCTCTTTATTTCTTTCTTTCTTTCTTTCTTTTTTTGTCTCCTCTGTTTTGTGTACCCAGGCAGCCCATTGAGTAACTTCTTTGACGTAATTAAACAACTTTTTTCAGACGAGAAGAACGGGCAGGTGAGCCATCCCCCCGGCACGCCAACCAAGCATAGCGCAAACAGCAAGCGGAGCGATTCCGGTTCTAATGACTATGGGTCTAGAGGAGACAATAAGTACCCTGCTGGCAAAGACAAGGCAAAGATGGTCTCATCAGTCGGCCTACAAGACCAACCTTAAATAAACACATAAAAAATTAAATAACTTAGAAAAAAAAAAAAACAAAAACAAAAACAAACAAACAAAACAAAACAAAACAAAAAAAAAAAGCAAGAAAGAATGAAAGAATATTCCTTAGCAAGCTAGCCTCTAAACTAGAAGGATGTATATACCTTGCCACAACAGTACAAAACTGTCTATAGACAAATTTTGTATGAAGGAATGACTGTATATATATACATATATATATTTATATATGATATATAATATATATCTCAGAAACAAACACAAAAACAAACGAATGAAAGAATGAAAAGAAAGAAAAGAAAAGGTAGCACAGATGACAAACCCAGTTCACCAGATCTTGGGTTGTGGTTTTTTCGATTGTTTTTTTCTTTTTTCCTCCCTTTTTTTGAATGTTTTGCTTTTTTTTCACCTTCCTGATTTTTGGGTTTTCTATTATTATTATTATTATTAATTATTATTATTATTATTACTACTACTTTTTTTTGGTTTCTTTTGTTTTGTTTCTTGTTCTGTTCATGCTCTCTCTGTGTTTCTGACGACACCACTTGTTTCCGCTCTGCTACCAGGAATTATCCCGAAAAGTTAACATGTCAGCCACGGCTTCACCTTCTGTGCTCTGCGGACACTTGTTGACGGAAGGCAACCGATGTAGACTGTCCAAGGACCAGTCCTGTTTGAGGTTCCCAGCCTCCCCTCTCCCTTCAGGAAGTGGGTTTCTCCCCCACTTCTCCCCAGACACCTCCCCAGTGCACGCCTCTTTTTTTCCTTTTTTCTTTTTTCTTTTTTTTTTCCTTCCCCCGCCCCCCCCTCCCCTCGCCCCCCCCCCCTCTCTTTTTCTTTTTTGGTGCTCCACAAGAGAGATCTGCTCAGTTATGGGATTGCAGAGTCTGGGCTGAAAGGAGGTTGCAGATTGTTGGAGTGAAACCTTTACCCTTGGCAACTTCTGTCCGCGCAGGTGAACTCAGCCCGGAGCGGGAGGGTGTGGGGAAGGGTGTAGGGGGAGCGCAGTGTTTCACGAATCCAGAGCGCGTTCTCATCAGAAACCAGCCAGGAGCAACTCAAAACTAAGCGTTGAACCAAGACGATATTGGGGAGCTTCATCACGGGATTTTCTTAACCTTCTTTTTTCTCCCCGCCACCTTTTCCTTTTCTTTTGCCCCCGTTTTTTATATATGCATGTATATATGTGAGTATGTATAAAATATACATACATACATACATACATACATATATAAAATAATTGGGGCTTTGTTGTTTTTTTTCTTGTTGTTTTTTATACTGTATCATTTTGCTTTTTGACCTGCTGGAAGGGGAAAGGAGTAAACTTAGGAGGGAGAGGGGGTTCAATGAACAAACACATACAAACAAAACATTAAAACTTAGGGAAAAGGCAACTCCTGGTAGCAAAGAAGAGGGACAAGACTCTGCCCAGGACTGTCTCTCCCGCCACCAGGCGCAGTTGCCGCCGCCGCTGCTGCTGCTGCTGCTGCTCCTTCGACACCTCCCTCCCCACCTCGCAGCGCCCTGCCGCTGCGCCGCCGCACCGGGACCTGCCGCGACCAGCTGGACCCTCCACACCCCCTGCATTTAGAGGCAATGGTTGTGTTGCTAGTGCTGCATTGATATCAGTATTTATTATTTCTTTTAAGTTACCAGTTTCATTTGTTGGCTTGGGTGGTTTTTTTCTAAGAAAACAACAAAAAAAAAAAAAAACACACAAAAAAAAAAAAAGAAAGGAAAAAAAAAAAAACAAACAAAAAAAAAGAAGACGAAGAGGAGGAAGAAAAGAGACTTCTCTTGGGTTTTATTTCCTGTGTGTGTGTGTGTGCAAATCACTGGCACTTAGTTCATCAGAGCAAGACAAGGTGGAGTCAGGGCAATGGGAGACTTAATCACAAAGCTACTGTAAACTTTAAAAATTACTGCAAGATATTTTTATAAAGTTTTTGTTTCGTTTTGTTTTGATTTGAAGGGGAGGAGGGTGGGGTTGGGTGGATGGGGACCTTTTTTTTTTTGTGTTTCAGTTATTAAGTCTTGGTTATTTATATATACATATATATATATTTAAAAAAAAATAAGCTGTTAGATATATCTTCTGTTTAATAACTGTGTAGAGGCAACATTGATTCTTATTTATTTTGGGGAGGAGGGGGAAAAAAGACACAGAAACCCTGTAAGTGTTCATCTTGTGACTTTGAGAAAGAAGAATCGCCGCCTTTTTTCCTCCTCCTCGAGAGTTATGTGACCAAGTGTAACTTATTCTGGCCCAAGCTCAAAGGTTAAACAAACAAAAAAAAAAAAAAGTGTGGTTTTACGCGTGGAAGACAAAACACAGTGAGAAGTACTTCTTGACTGAGATTTTAAGAATGTAGGCTTAGCATTAGTGTTCAGCTCTTTATGACCTTCGATTGCTGCTCGTTGGGTTCCTATGGGTGTATGTTGTATCGCAAGATTATTTTTTTTTAATGATACTGTTGGATGAGTTCTTTTTTGTTGTTGTTGTCGTTGTTGGTTTTTTTAATCATTTTTCCCCTTCTTGGACCAGTTTTACTTGTACATAGGTTTGAAGATTAAAAAGAGTTTTTAAAGACACAACTGGGGCAAAGACCTTTGACTTTTGCCCCGTCTCCCCATTCCCCCAAATGGGAGGGATTTATTTTATTTTCTTGTTTTATTTATTTATTTATTTATTTTCCCTGTTCTTAAAACTTTTCTCTCTCGTATTGCTGTGTGCATGTCAGACACCAGGGGGTGATGGCTGGGGAGGGGGGGAGGCAAGGGTGCAGGAGAGGGGGGCAGTTTTAATTGCATGACATTGCTGTAAATTAGTCTCTTTTGCTTTCGTTGTCTTTCCTGCCTCCGCCCTCTCTCTACTTCTCCTCCGAGCTCCCCTCCCATCACCCCCGTCCTTCTTTTCCCTCTTTTCTCTTCCCTTGTGTATAGATTTTGATGCTTCTGTTACATTGTACCTCTACAAAAGGCTGGGATTTCAATACAAAATAATAATAATAATTTAAAAATACCTATATCAGCAAAACCCATGTGGTACAAGCAGGAAGGGGATTACTTACACAAGATATAAGAATAAATGAAAGCAATACCTCTTGTTATCCTTCCTATTTTGTACTTTGAAGACACACACACGCGCACACACACATATACAGACACAAACTGACATTATTTAATGGTTTAAAATGGACAAAAAAATCTGATGTATCCCTTGTTAAATAACTGTGAGCAACTTTAGTTCAAAAACCAATAAATTCATTCAGTAAAGATACGAGCTGTGGAGTGTCCCGTTTATGTCCATGAACACAAGCGTCTCCTCGGAGCCGGGGACGGCGGGCGCGCAGGCGGCCTGCTCGGGGCCGGGGTCGCCGAGCAAGGACGCCTGGACCCCGGCCGCCCGGTTTTTCCACAGCGACGCGTTGGAAAAAAAAAAAAAAAAAAAAAAAAAAAAAAAAGGTTAATCCGAATCGCAGAGCGATCACACGCCCTTACATCCGATCTGGATGGAGACCGCTGGCTGCCCGCGATCCCTCTCGCCTCCCACCTGAGCTGCGCACCTTGCCTCCAGATGCAGCGCAGGAAGGACTCCTCCACCCTCCCCGCCTGAAACGCTCTGTCGCACGCGCTTGGAAAAGCTGCTCAGGTACGTCCCTGGCCTTGGGCGGGTGGTTTGGGGTTTTCCCCCGCCTCACGCGTCCCTCTCGCTCTGGGGCGTTCGCCCTCCCGCCGGGTTTGTGGCTTCCCCCCGGCTGACCCGGAGAGCCTGGCCGCTCGCCCCTGGCGCTCGGAGGTCGGGCTGCCGCACGCCCGGGAGGAACCGGGACCTGCGTGGGCGCTTCCCCGCACGGCGAGGGGCTCCGCGCTGACCCGGGGGCGGCTGAGATGGCCGGGGGAGGCGGGCGGCGGGGCCCGGCCCGGGCGGTCGTCGCGGGAGGTTCTGCGGGGCAACTACGGGGAGACGAGGCCGGGGCTCCCGCCCGCGGCCCCTCAGGGCTCCCGCCCGCGGCCCCTCAGGGCTCCCGCCCGCGGCCCCTCAGGGCTCCCGCCCGCGGCCCCTCAGGGCTCCCGCCCGCGGCCCCTCAGGGCTCCCGCCCGCGGCCCCTCAGGGCTCCCGCCCGCGGCCCCTCAGGGCTCCCGCCCGCGGCCCCTCAGGGCTCCCGCCCGCGGCCCCTCAGGGCTCCCGCCCGCGGCCCCTCAGGGCTCCCGCCCGCGGCCCCTCAGGGCTCCCGCCCGCGGCCCCTCAGGGCTCCCGCCCGCGGCCCCTCAGGGCTCCCGCCCGCGGCCCCTCAGGGCTCCCGCCCGCGGCCCCTCAGGGCTCCCGCCCGCGGCCCCTCAGGGCTCCCGTCGGCTCTGCGGGCCCCGTTGGAGCCGGCGAGAGGAGCCGCCGCCCCCGCGCAGCAGCGGCCGCCGGCGCAGGCTGCGGCCCGTCTCCGCGGAGGGAGCGGCTCCCCGGGGGTTTGTTTGCGGGAACCTCTGGCGCTGGGCGCTCCCGACCCGCGGTGGGCAGGGCGGGCGCCTGCCCCGCTCTAAAAAGGGGGTACGGGGTGAAAGGGGTGGGGGGGGCATCGCAGCCGCCCCCATCTTTCAGGGGCGTCATCCCCCAGCATGCGCGCAGCAGCCTCGGGAGCTCTGGAGCGGGGCTGATGTTGAGAAAGCCCTGCGGCGCTCCAGGCAGGGGTGGCAGGAGGTGGCACCCCCGGAGCCCCGGCCGTAGCAGACCCGGGAGGTTGGGGTGCCGTCGGTGGGGTGGCTGTGAAGGCTCAGGCCGCAGGTGGCAGCCCCCCCCATCCCCGTGGCTGCCGGAGGTGCCAAAGAGGTTTGTGCTGGGGGGCAGGAGCATAGTCGCCTCGACGTCATGCAAGTTACTCACGCAAAATATACTCTTATCTAGGAAAAAGCCGCTGCTTCTGAGGTCTTTGGGGGATTTACTGGTCTGCTGAAAGCGAAGGGGAGGGAGGAGCAGGAGCGTGAGGGGAGTGGAGAAGCTGACAAAGATCAAAAGATGAGAATCCCAAGCGCTGCAGGATTTTGTCTCGGTAACACTGGAAACCCAGAACTGGGAGCTCGCTGTGTAGCGTTTCCAGCTCTGACAGTGAAAGGGCTGGAACGCAGTGCAGGGGAACAGGATTTACCGGCAGCGTGGCAGTGGGTATATGCTGCTTCTATATCTGCTTCCCTCCCTATGTTTTCAGAAGTGTTCATAAACTTACATGATCTTTTTATGTCCCCACTATTGCTAATTACGGTTTCCAAAAGCTGTAAGAAGAAAATAATGAGTTTGCAAAGTGAAGGACCTCATGCTTAGGGCCTACCCCCATTTATTCTGCCTCCTTGCTTGGCCACATTGCAACACAGTCTCTAGCTATGTGATATTATGTTCTCATCTGTAGTGCATGGGAAGGACTGAGCTTCTGGGTGAAGCCAGTTTATATTTAAACTGTTCTCTGCAAAACATCCTTCCTATTTTGTAGTTTAAATCCAAAGGCAAGTAGTAAACGCAGCAGAAGATTTCGGTATGCCTCTGGTGGTTGAGGTAGTTAGATTATTTTTGCTGCCAGGTGGTGGCTATTGTCTTCATCCAAGCCCCTTACCAGGTGATGGCTGCTAAGATGATTCTGTGAGCTGGGACACCTGTCCTTCGTTTGCTGTGGTTCTGAGCTCTGCAGAGCTCTTGTTGTCTTGGAGACCCTGCCCCCTGGGATTCCATACCTAAAAAAGTTACTGCTTTTAACATTTGTCTCTCTCATTCCCTCTGGGTAAAACAACACAGTTTATGACCTTCTGCGTGTAAATTGAAGACAGGGTAAGTGTGTAAGACTCTAGTTGGGATTTTCTGTTTGTCAAGCGTGTAAGACTCCAGTTGGCATTTTCTGTTTGTCTCTGCACATGTGGATATTAACTTTGTTTAGATACATGCGTATGTGAAAAATGTATTTGTGCTCCAGGTGAACTGTTACTAATTGAGCCAGTACCTGACATGTACTATATAAGCAGTAAATTGTG